ATTTCACGACGGCTTGCAGCAAGCTCTTCACGCAGACAGTTTATCTAAAGAATATATTTTAATGCAGTGAATTCAGTGATGCATCCAAGAAAGAAATAAATAGGGCCATGCGCCAGCATAACCGGTGCGATTATGCATTTTGCTCAGTTTCGTCCAACAGACGTTTCTATTGAGTATTTTCACTATTTTACACGTTGATGTGTTCAAAAATTGCAGTTTTTCATATGTCGTAGTAAATTATCTAAGTTATCATTGGTATTTTTGTAAGGCGATGTAACTCGGCGAATATCAAGTACTTTGAGTTGTCCAAGAAAAATGAAATTGATTGTGTCATCTTGCTTTCAAAGCACATCAAACTGATCCGTGTAGCATGGAAAAGTGCAAAAATTTGGACGTGCAGCGTTCTATCAAGGAGTTGCGAAGTTCACCAAAAAAACAAAAATCTTCGGTCAAGAAAGCGCATAAATTTAGCTAGACAAAGCAAAATCTCTAACTTGGATGGGTGCAAAATTTGAGTGAATACGTATGAAAGTCTTAAAACGAAGACCAAAGAAGCACTGACCTCAAGTGGAGAATGCTTACCAGGATGTGTTGTAAAGCAGTTTGAACTTAATCTCAAATTAAAACGATAAAATGCGTCCATTAAAAAAGTTGGGTTTAAGGGCCGGAAGATATTTCTGCCAAATTACGCTTTTCCCATCATCTAGAAAATTTGACAAACCAGTCAGTGCTAAGGACAGCATGGCGCCAAAATGCAGTGCCCATTCCGGGTTGCTAAACTGTTCCATCCCAATGAGTAGAAATTTTTTGCACTTGTAACGATTAATGTTCATTGGACTATAAATTAACCACAGCAAGGATCTACCTCTTCATCTTTTTCTTGCACAACTTTTTGCACACTGTCGGATTCCAATGATGACACGTCCTCAGCGTCTTTTGTCTCAGTGCCTTCTAAAAAACATCTCAGTATAACTGAGTACCCACCGGTGCTTTGCAGCAGTGGACAATAGCTAGCACAGAACAGCAAACTGGCCGCTACTTATGGCACTACCAGTAGGATTTCGAAGAATCAGCCAGTTTCAGATCATTATAACATGAACATAAATGCCAGTACTACCTGGGCAGTCGCTATGAATATTTCCCTAATAGTGAATACTTCTATTAGGTGCTTCTACAAACTGAACTTAGTCACACCGGCCACAGAACGTCTTCTGTCGAGATTCTTCCTTTTCTGCCTACATTACTGCTTTTTACCCTTTTCAACAATTCTAAATTTAATATGGTACTAAAAACTCTTCCTTTTCTTATCTTCTTCGTCTCTTTTCCCCTCCCTGAACACCACGGCCGTCATACTGGCGAGGCCCAGTCGTGGTTTTGAGCTAAGAGAGATATAACTTAATAGACCATGAATTCACTATTTTCATATTCATTCATAATTAGTTCGCTCCATGCCTTCGTTTCCTATGCTTCTAACATCTACCTGTACACTACAATCAGCTTAG